CACTATTATCAAATGCTAGGATTATTTAATTATTTATTCCACTGACACTGTAACCATCCCCCTAAAGACATTCTGATATCACCCCTACCCTCAAAAAAAAAAACTTTCCCTTGACCCATCTCTGCTCTCCCAACTACCGCCTCATTTCAAACCTTCCTCTTCTATCAAAGGTCATGGAACAAGCTGTCGCTTCCCAGCTTTTTCCCAGCTCTTTCCTCTCCCAGTGTTCCCTCCGTGAACTGCTCCAACCTGGGTTTTGTGTGGCTCACAACAGAGACAGCCCTGGTCAAAGTGACAAATGACCTGTCCACCTGCAAGCATAGCTCTCTCTGTCTTCTCAACCTCTCGGACGCTTTTGATACTGTTGACCATTCTATTCTTCTCCACCACCTCTCCTCTCACCTCAATGGTTCTGTTCTTGCCTGGTTCCAATCCTACCTTTTCCACCTTCTGCACTTTGTGGCCACCAACGGCTTCTCCTCTAGACCCTACACTGTCACATGTGGCGTCCCTCAGGACTCCGTCCTCGGTCCCCTCTTCAATCTGTTAATGCTCCTGCTCGGTGATCGCTCGCAGGGATGGGGTCAATTTCCACATGTATGCAATGATATCCAACTCTCTTGCCGCCAGAAGCGTTGATATTCTGGCTAATTTTCTGTCTGACATCAAATCCTGACGAGAGCCAACTTCCTCCAGTTCAATGTTGGCAAGACAGAAGCTCCTGCTTGGCTCCCGGTAGCGCCTCCTCACCTCAGCCACTGACATTATCACCATTCATGGCTGCACTCTTCACCTCACTGAGCCAATCCGAAATCTCTGTGTCCTTTTTGACCCTCAGTTATCCTTCAAACCCCACATTCATGCTGTGACCCGTTCTGCCTTTCCAAACCTAAGCAACATTGCCCACCTCTGCCACTGCCTCTCACCGCAGGCTGCCTAGACCCTGATCCACGCTTTAATTATGTCCTGGTTTGACTATGCCAACTGTCTGCTTATTGGGCTTACCAACTCTCCATCCACAAGCTGAAGATTATTCAGAACTCTCCAGCTCATGTCCTCTCCAGCACCAGGCTCCCGGAACCTATCACCCCCGTTCTTGCCCAAATTCACTGGCTCCCCATTCCTCAAGAGAATCGAGTACAAAACCCTCCTTACCTTCAAGGCCCTCCAAGGTCTTGCTCCGCCCTACCTCTCCGACCTCATAACCCCATATCAGCCTGTCTGCTCCCTCCGCTTGGCGGGCACCAGCCTGTTTCAGGCTCCCCGCAGTTCCCATCCCACCATTGGCAACTGGGCATTCAGCGCCGTCTGAAGACCTTCCTCTTCAACCATGCCTTTGGCCACCTCCCGCCCACTCCCGCCCTCCTCCCCTTCTGACCCCAACTCCCAGCCTTCCTCCCAGCTGACCCCAACTCCCCTGATTGTCCAGAGCCCTGGGATGTCTTTCTGATGTGAAGGGCGCTATACAAGTGTAATTTGTCATTGTTAAGGATTATTATTATTTTTCTTTGTCCAGATCATTAAAAGTAATAACACACAGGGATTGCCATATATGTAATGGTTTAATATGTAGTATCCAGCAAAAAACCCTAACATTTAAGTGTCAAAATTACAGTATTCCTTATTTATTGTTGGCAATAACGTATTTGTATGTAAATACAATCCAGAATGCTCTATTGCCATGTAGGCTGTTTAAATTTAGAAGAGAGAACATGCCTACTAGCAATGATCACAAGAAATTGTATCTATACTGTAATCAGATACAATGGTGTATATGGTGAATTTAGAGAGCTAAAACCTGTAATAAAAACATAGACTGTATAGGTTATACTTTCCTTGTGTTGCAGCTTCATATTTTAAATTAGTCTTTTTGCTAAATATATACACTGAGCTCAGTCATAACAATCCAGATCTCAGTCTCTTCAATAACATCTGCGATTCTGATCTATTTCCGGTCCTTGACCACTGGTCTATTCTTATCTCTCCTCCCAGTCTCAGATCAGCACCTGGTTGAATCCCAAATGCATGAACCAATTGACATATATCATGATTCTCCTTAACAAGCTGCATTAGATAATAGTTAATTGTTGTACAATAAAGAAATAATGCTCCGCATCCATAATAATGCTCCGCATCTTAAACACCTCCACATGAGGTGTTTAAGATGATCAAGGGATTTGATAGGGTAGATACGGAGATGCTATTTCCTCTGAGGGGAATCCAAAACAAGTGCGTAGTCTTAAAATCAGAATCAGGCCATTTAAAAGTGAAATCAGGAAGCATTTTTTCATTCAAATTGTGATAGAAATCTGGAACTCTCCCCCAAAAGGCTGTGGATTCATCCATACTTTCAAGATTGAGCTTCCTAGATTTTTGGTTGGTCAGGGTATCAAGGGATATGGGGAAAAAACGGGAAATTGGAATTGATAGGATTAGTTGAGGTGCAGATCGACTATGATTTAATTGAATGGCGGAACAGACTCAAAGGGCTGAATGGCCTACTCCTGTTCCTATGTTAACAAAAATAATAATCCTTGCATTTGATATAGCGTTTTTCACGTCTTTTAGACGTCTCAAAGCGCTTCACAGAATAGACTGTAAAGTGAATTGACTGTTTATTTGTGGGTAAAATGTCTCAGCCAATTGCGCACAGCAGTGTCCCACAAACAGTGTTGGATTGAAAATGACCAATTTATTATTTTTTGGTTTTAGAGGGATTATTATTAGGCGTGTGGAGTAAGGAAACTTGTCCAAGGTTTCGCCCGGCGTGTATGTTCCACAGCACGGTGCAAATAAAATTGGTCATTAATTTCATGGCTGTTTGTGGGATATTGCTGTGTGAAAATTTGTTGCTGGATTTGCGCACAAAGCACATAGCCATTGCACTTCACAGTATATCTTGTGAAGCACTTTGAGACGACATCCCAACATGAAAGTTGGCATACCAAGTGCAAGGATTATTGTGATTTATTTATGTTACTCCCTTTTGAAAGTTGTTATTGAATCAAGCTTGCTCAAGTGAAGTGTAAAAGCAGGCTGGGGTTACTGAATCTCTTGATTTTTCTTCTCTCCCAGTAGCGAAGCAGCAAGTCTCTACTTGGTGCCTTTCCTGCAATACAGCTGTTTTTGAGAAATAGCCATCTGGAGAATCACAGGCATCAACAATGTTTTCAGGCGTCCAAAATGACTTTAATTAGCTTTGTATATTGTGCATATCTGGTGGCTATATAGCACCAATACTCCCAACCTCTGGAACTCCCTCCCACAAATGCTCCATCTCACCCCCTCCCTCTGTAATTGTCTTTACAGCCTGCCTAAACACCTAACCCTTCGACTGTGGTATAGTTGCCTCAACCTCTCCTCCTTCCTTGCTCGGTTTCCAACTCCGTCCTATTTTTGTGAGCATAAATATAGACAATGGTGAATTATTACTCTGTGCTACGCAGTGTGTTGTGACCTTCCTCTGGGTGAAAACAAACTCATCTCTTTGCAGGCGAGACAGATAGTTTATTGCGGTAATGCGGAGTCACGGGACAAAGGGATACTTGGGAGTCACTGGACAAAGGGAATGACACAAAACTGCACACCCAATTATGTTATATTGCCAACAAACTAAAGAGGACAGACCTCAACCCTGAACACAAATTGTTTTACTTCCACCAAGTGGAGTCCTGTGGCTCAGTGGTTAGAGCACTCGCTTTGCAAGTGAGAGACCTGAGTTCAATTCCAGGCAGAGGGCGAAACCTTGGGCAAGTTTCCTTACTCCACACAGAGCCTAATAATAATCCCTCCAAAAAAACAAAAATAATAATAAATTGGTCATTTTCAATCTATGACTGTTTGTGGGACATTGCTGTGCGCAATTGGCTGCTGCGTTCGCCCACAAATATACAGTCAATTCACTTTACAGTGTGTTCTGTGAAGCGCTTTGGGACGTCCTCCCGACGTGAAAAGCGCTCTATCAAATGCAAGGATTATTATTATTATTATTAGATGTCATTGGATTGGATTGTCATTGGATTGGATTGTCATCGGATGTCATTGCAGTTGGAAATTCCCCACAGTGAGGCAGAGGCTATGTTCTTTCTCGCAACCTTTGCATTTATTGCTACAGTCGGCCCCAGTGAAGGAATCATAAAAGAAGTCATGTCAGTCGAGCTGTAACCTGCAGCCACTGCAGCCAAGACAAGAAGCTCCACCAAGTCACACCTCACTGCTGGGTGGCTCTGCACGTAGCTTGCGTAGCGCGGTGACGTAGTGACGCAGACGACTGACGCTCGGAGGGACGGACGGAGGGGAGGAGGAGGTGGGGGAGGGGGGGGGTTCCATCATGGCGTCGATGCAGGTGAGCGTGTTACCGACTCGGGACCGGGCGCTGCCTGGCGGCGGGCGGGCGGGGCGGGGCGGGTCGGGCGGCCGCGCTCGGCTGCCCGCGCACCGAGAGGCCGAGTGGCGGCGGGTACCCGCCGGGGTCCGCGGGGAGGAGCGGGAGGGCAGCGGCGGCCCCGCGGGCGTCCCCATACGTTGTCCCGGCTGCTAAATCTTTGTTTTGAAGTGGCCGGTGGGGGGGAGGGGAGGGGAGGCCGAGAGCTTGGGCCCGGCCCGTGCCTGTGCCTGGCGGCCTCTCCGTTCAGGTGATAGGCGGCGGCGTCAACATCAAACGTAGTTGCCGGTTTCGTACCGGGTCCTGAAGGTTACAGGTGTCAAGAGGCCGAGTCCGCGGCGGCGGCGGCGGCATAACCGCGGGGCTGAGTGAGTGAGTGAGGGAGAGAGTGAGTGAGGCGGCTCGGCTCGGCTCGGCCCCCGCCTGGTGCTGCTCTGGGTTTGTCTGTGTTTTAATCAAAGGAGTTTGTCGCCCAAAGAACAACGAGCCGCTCGCTTTCTGACCCCGACTTCGGTTTGCCCTGTTTCTCTCTCTCTCTCTCTCTCTCTCCCCCCCACACACACACACACAAAAAGGACCGTGTGCAGTCACGTCCTTCCCAAACTATATAACACGACCGAGGGATTTGTTGTTGACTGCTATCTCGCAGGCGGTGCAGCCTTGGCTTTCCGTCGAGTCTCTTTTGCGTTGCATCTCTTTAACTGTGTTTCTATCTGTATGGCGTCTCTGTGTGTGTGAGTGTGTGCGTGTGTCTGTCTGTCTGTGTGTCTGTGTAAAAGAAAAGATCATCAGTTAAACAGGAACTCGAAATGCGGAGTTGTTTGTGGTTTTGCCGACCCGTGTCCCACGTCCATGGGACTGGAGAAGCTTCAGTGCCGCCGACACAATTTTTAAAAAAAAACACAACCCAATGGTTCACGACCTAAAGCTCAGTAAGTGTTAGCTTTGTTGTGGGATCCATTAGACCGCAGGAAAAAGGTGGAGGTACGGTCCGTCAAATCCACGTCTGGTATTTTCAATGTACTAATGCAGTGATCGGTTAATACAATTACAGTTTGTAACCAGACATACTTATATATAAGTAACGAAAGCCCCAAAAGGTAGGAACCTGTGGGATTTGGTGAAAATGTTGTTCCATACAAAATTTGCTTATGTTTTGGTTCAGTGCTGTTGTTCTGTACTCCTGTCGAATAAGATTATTTTGTTTTACAGAAAGTCAGCTTTAATCCAACACTGTTTCACAAAAGTAAAGATTTGATCTATCAGAATTAATGGAATTATTTGAACAATTACACTTTGTTTCTTTGTTTTCGCCCACAAAGTATGCAGTCAATTCACTTTACAGTACATTCTGTGAAGTGCTAAGAAACATCTTGGAGACATAAGGTGCTATTTCAAATGTGAGGATTATTATTATTATTGTTTCTAACTACTGTATGCATTCTCTTATTAGAAAAGACTACAGAAAGAGCTGATGGCTTTGCAAAATGATCCACCCCCAGGAATGACTTTAAATGAAAAGAGTGTGCAAAATTCAATTACACAGTAAGTAGTTTAAAATATTTTCAGCAATTTTAAAATGTCTGCAAAGCAAGCTTCATCCTTCCTGTACAATTGTCTAGTTCTGAAGATCTCTGAACCAGTTGCATAAAATTTCAGTTGGATGCAATTTCAATTCGATAAATGCTGGTTATATTCTGGCAGAATAATAATAATAATCCTTGCATTTGATATAGCGCTTTTCACGTCAGGAGGACGTCCCAAAGCGCTTCACAGAACACACTGTAAAGTGAATTGACTGTATATTTGTGGGCGAACACGGCAGCCAATTGCGCACAGCAATGTCCCACAAACAGTCGTAGATTGAAAATGACCAATTTAATTATTGTTTTTGGTTTTGGAGGGATTATTATTAGGCTCTGTGTGGAGTAAGGAAACTTGCCCAAGGTTTCACCCTGCCTGGAATTGAACTCAGGTCTCTCACTTGCAAAGCGAGTGCTCTAACCACTGAGCTACAGGACTCCACAAGGAAGGAAGTGGTGTAACACTCTGAGACTCTACCCTGTGGGGAGGGTGCTATATAAGTGCAAGTTGTTGTTGTAAGCAGATGAAGAAAATTACAAGATGCTCACTAATGTTAACACAATGATGCTAAGTAAGATGATTATCGAATCTAACCATGATTACTTAAGAATTACATAAGATTACATAAGAATACATGGTGACTTATCTGTTCCGTCATAATGTGAGTATTTAATGTTCAGTAAAATTTTCATGGAGAAACATAAGAGTATAAATCTAAAGCAAACATGAATGGATCACATTTATATAGAGAACTGATGTACTGTACNTTTTTTGGTCAAATGTTTTTGCAAAACATCTTGTGCCTTTATTTTGATTGTAGGCACATTGTTTTCAAGAAATTCAAGCTATATTGTTTGAGGACTGAATAAAAACATGTTTTATAAAAGGAATATTTTGTTGTGTTTAGCACACATCAGCAATCTGTTTTCTTTCAAGTATGTTCGCATATATTTATAGAATGAGAAGTTCCAACCTACAATAATATCGATTTTACTTAGTATGATGCAGCAAATTTTTTTCTCATGATAAATAGCTATTTTGTTTACTCTTGACGTGCATCTGGACTTAATATTTTTCTGAGCAACTGTGGAATGTTGTAATTTTTGTATAATAATAATCCTTGTGTTTGACATAGCACCTTATGTCGTTGATACGTCTCAAAGCACTTCACAGTAAAGTGGATTGACGGTATTTTGTGGGCAGCCAGTGTGCACACATCAATGTCCCACAAACAGCCATTGAGTGAGTCACAAGTTTTATTTGGGAGATTTGTTAGCCAGGGCAGAATAAAACTCTTTTTTTGCATCCATTGAAGAAGAAGTGCATTTCAATTTCCATAATTCAAGCGTTTTTGCAGTAAGATTGTTTGACTTTGGGATACAACTGATTATTTACATTATTTTTTTATAAACCTTTTTACTGCTATTGAATAAGCAACAAACTCTCACCTTAATTAAAGGTAATAGATAGGAAATCTATAAACTACATTTTATAGCACAGTGCACAGCACCAGCTCCCTCTTGGGGGAAACTTCTCCTGGGGTCACCACAATGGTTCTGTATTTTTGTTCAGGCGCAACCGCACGGTGCTCAAAGAATATCCCACAACACTCTCTTTCCCTCCCCTCTCCCCCACACAATTTAATTCTCCTGTAAAGGGATATGGGTTTGTCCAGCAGAGAGATGTAGACTGATGGGTACCTTAATCATTAGGTGGCATGGTGGTAGAGGGGATGTATAGCTGGAACTGGAGCTGACCATTTACTGTCCTGAGAGAATGCATGGATGGGATGGGGGCTTGTGGTGTGGAAGAAGGCACTTGACAGTTGAAAAAGGTCTTCATTTTAAGATTTCATCCACTAGCATCAGTTCTGAAGAAGATCAGGTTTTCATAGAATAGTATGGGGATGAAAAGAGATGTATAACCCTCAACTAAAGAATGCTAGAGAGAGGATAGTGCACTCAGATGAGTTTGGGGGAGTTGTATGTTTTAATAAGGAGCTAATCTTTTCAGCCTGGCATATTGACCAAAGTTGCTGTTTTCACATTGGTGTGAAAGAGTTGCACTAGATTTTTGCTGATGATTTGGTTTCTAAAGACCCAGCCAGTATGTAACTGAGGAATACTAGGCAAGAGGAGGTTTGTTTTCTGAGTTAGTTGATCTTAGTTGGATAGCAGTTAGGGTCCACGGTTTGCCTCATTGCACTATAATCCTTGTATTTAATGTAGCACCTTATCACGGCTTCTAGACGTCTCAAAGCGCTTCACAGAATATACTGTAAAGTGAATTGAGTGTATGCTTTGTGAGCGAAACGTGGCAGCCAATTGCGCACAGCAGTGTCCCACAAACAGTCACGGACTAAGTGACCAAATTATTATTATAGTACTCGGGAGGGAAATATAGTATACCAAAACTTGTTAGCTAAGTAACTACATGAAGAATGGCCTTTTGGTTAAAGTACCGAAGGATACCCATGGAACTACTCAAACTGATTACACCAGCAGAGAGGGGAAAACGCAAAGGCATGTCTTATCGCTGAAGACCTTGTGCAGTAGAATTCTGCTGTGCTTATTGATAAAAAATCCTGTGATGCAAGAAGATATAATGTGCGTATTATTATTCTGGCTCGAAAGTTTATGGTTTGAGCCATGTTGGTACTCAGTCTAGGCTGATATCAGGAAGCACAGCATTGACAGAGTTGCCTTCCTTCTGCTAACACGTTAAACTGACGTTCTTTATGCAGGTTGGGGTGAGCATTAAGGATCTCGTGACTATTCAAAACGAGTAGGGCTTCCAGTGTCTTGGCCAACAAGAATTTACTGTGAGCAGTCTGACTATTGTGTTTATAAATAGTCGCTACTCTTGACAGCAATTACCTGTGAAGTGTGTTGAGGCATTTTGAGATTATAGGTTCTATATTAAATGCTAGGTTTATCTATTATTTATCTTCATCTAGTTTGAAGACCGTGAGAGCTTTTTTCGCATGTGAGCAGTTTTGCTCAATCTAATGCAGTCTATTAAAAAATAGTTTTCACAGAAAATTAAACTAGTAATCATCTTGTCGGCAGTCAAGCCTGTGTGAGCACATTTGATCTGATCTTCCAGATCCTGTTCTACAGAAGACTGCTGGCATCATTTCAATAATGAAGTAATTGCTGGACTATATTTTTACTTCTTGGCTTATTAACTAGGTGGAATATGTAATCGCTGAAGCATTAAATGTGATCTGAAGCTTTTGATTGTGAGCCATGTATTGCTGTTGATTAAATAATAGTAAGCCTATTATAAATTAATTATTTTTTCGCATATAAAACATTTGACACGTCCTTACGCTGATCATTTACAAATATATAGTCAATTCACTTTAAAGTATATGCTGTGAAGCGCTTTGAGACATTCAGAAGACGTGGAAAGCGCTGTATCAAATGCAAGGATTGTTATTATTTATGTCTTTAATGTCTTGCCTATTTATTTCAACAAAATTGTTTTTCAAACATGTACTAAAGTTTGGCCAAACACAGAACTATTTTCACCAAAAAAAGTTTAAATATATTGTAGACCTTGAATATTACAACAACTTGCATTTATATAGCCCCATTTATGCAGGCTGGTATCTCAGAGTGCTTATTAACACATTTAGACAAATCTAATCTTGTTGGAATGCTGTGAGGAATGCATAAATTTGATGGAGTAAGGAGTTGGTCAATACTGTTCTTTATCTTATATAAAATAGGTAATTTTTCTACTTTTTTTGATGTTTTGTTGATGGGTTCACCTGATTTTATTCTTGTCCATGTAGCTGAATTAGTGTGCCAGACGAGGATACTTTAATATTTTATGATTTTTTTCCTCTGCATTTTCAATGAAAGGTGATGATCTCCACATGGTTAGTCAATAAAATATTTGGTATGTTCTCTTCAAAGCGAGTAATTTTGGCTTCTAAGAGTGAAATTGTAGGAGTTAATTAAAAAGGGAAATGGAGACTGAAAATCCAAATTGTCACATGTTACTGAGGCAGTTGCAACTAGTTGAGCATTTCAGGCACTGACCCAAATTTCAGGCAATGAAACGTGGAAGCCAGTTATTGACGTATCTGTAAACATTTGGGTTAAGAAAATGGATTGGCACAAATTAATTCAGATTCTTTTAGTATTAAAGTAAGGATTGAAGGGTCAATTGATGAGGTTTCTTCCTTTCATGGGCCAAATGGATTGTTTTCATCACTCTTAATCTGGTTATATAGTTGCATTTGTATAGTAAGGATGGGATTTCATGTTCAATTTTATCTATCACTTTGTAACTGTTACCTAAAATTTTTAACTTGCTTGGTTTAAGATTTGCTGATGACTAGCAGATGGTTAACCCTAATGTGACCATTGCAATATAAAAGTATCAACACACATGAATATTAAGCATTTATTGCAACTCTCCTGATGCTTATAGGTAAACAACCCCCTCCCCTCCCACCCCCCACCACACAGTCCAGTAAGGGAAATAAATCTGCCAGTTCCTATTCCTAATCGCATGTGTGGAAGTTAGGTCGGAACAACATTAAGCTTGGTTGTGAATAACCAGACACTCGTGAAGAATGGCTCCTTGGTTAAGCTGGCTGGAGGGGTGCTCATTTGTGGAAGAGTCAATGCCGTTCAAAAATGCACATGGTTTGATTTAAATACAAGGGTAGTATCTTTATTTTTTTTACTGCTTATTTCATTACAGTTAATGAGATCCATTGAAATAATAGTTTCTATTAATAAACAAATGTTTCATGGAATTGACGTAGCTGGATAGTGTACATTTCAAAGTAACAATGCACATTTTCCAGTAATGTATCTGAATTGCTTTGAGGAAGTTTGGTTTGATGTGAAGATGTATTGATTTGACATAAAGATGTATTGCTAGATTAACAACATTTTACATTCAGTAATTGAATTATTTCTATACTGCCTTAGGCAGATATC